GAGGCCTGAAAGGCCTATGAAGCGGTATATAAGTCTACTGCAGTGCTGCATTTAACCACTGCGCCACCTTGGCTCTTCTAAATGTTCGCTAATTCGTTGCTTGTTTATCTTTTCCAGAATCTTTTCTGGTATTTAGGTCAGGCTGATAGGTCTGTGGTTTCCTGGATCTATTTTTTCTCTTTTTTGAAGATGGGAACCACATCAGCTCTTTTCCAATCCTCTGGTAGTTCCCCGGTGCTCCAGGACCTCTGAAACATATAGTTCAGTGGTACTGAGATCTCGTCTGCCAGTTCCTTCAGAACCCTGGGATGTAATCCATCCGGTCCTGATTTGAACTCATCTAGGGTAGACAGGTGCTCACTTACCATTTTCTTCCCTATTTCAATGTGTTCCTAATCTGATTTTTGTGGTGCTGTTTTTGATTGGTTGGACTGTTTTATCCCTTTGTGTAAAGCCAGATGCAAAAAATGAGTTAAATAGTTCTGCTTTCTCCCTATTGCTTGTCGCCTTCTTGCCAATTTCTCCCAGCAATGGACCAATTGTTTCCTTGACTTTTTTCTTGTTTTTAACATGTTGGAGGAAGGGTTTTTTTTGTTATTTTTTACTTTTGTGGCAAGTATTTCTTCATTGTGAGCCTTCCAGAAGTTCTGGGTACTCCATCAATGGAGATTTTAAAGAAGAGATTGGACAGCCATTTGTTTGAAATGATATAATTTCCTGCTTGAGCAGAAGGTTAGACCTCCAAGGTCCTTTCCAACTATGTTATCTGTGTTCTGTACCTTCTTTACAATGCTATCAAATATGCTACGGATATATTCATGAAAGGAAAGGCAAAACATTATTATCAACAATTGGCATATCCGTGACCCGACAAATGTGTGCCTGACAACAGCGCGCCAACAAAACCACGGCGATAAAACCGTGATGTCGACAGCACACCGACGAATGAGCACAGAAGCGCGCTGACAAGAGCGGCAACAGAAGCGCCATTATGGTTAAGGTAAGGGTTAGGGTAAGGGTTACGTTTAGGTTTAGGGTTAGGTTTAGGGTAAGGTTCAGGCTTAGGTTTAGGTTAGGGTTACCTTTAGTGTTAGGTTTAGAGCGCGCTTGTCAGCACTCTTTTGTCGGCGCGCTTCTGTGCTCATTCGCAATTTTGAACTCACGCTTTTCTCCCCGCGGTTTTGTCGGTGCGGTTTTGTCGAGCATGCATTTGTCGGTGAACCGGCATATCAACAGAATGCAACCTGAATGTAGACTCTCGTGCTTGATAAACAGTAAACCTCTTATGACTTCATTTCCAAATTGACTATCAAAGAGTTTCGGTATCTCACCTGTCCAGCCAGTATATGCAGAGCAGTCATGAGGATCTGCTGTTTTTAAGCCTTCTTCCATTTGCTGCAATAAGTCTTTAATTTTAGTTGTAATTTTCTTATTAAAATATGAGGTGATCTGCAGAGAAGATAAGGCAGAGAAAGGTCTGATTCAGTTAACAAATTAAAGCTTCGTGAATAAAACATACAAATCTTAAGCAATAAATCACATTTAAATAATAACATTTATGCAATAAATTACATTACACATGTAATATGTAAACGATGGAGAGGTTATAAAAAGTTTGGGGACTGAAATATTTTAACCCTCAAAACTTTCCATTTTGGATGGAATTAATTATTTTACCTGAATTGTTCAAACCTTACTGGAAATATTCCATTTTGAAATGCAGCATTTTGACTACAAAACAGAAATCACAACACTCCCCCTTCAAAAACAGTACATTCCAGCATGTCCCAAGCCCAGTTCTGAATTTGGAACACGGTATTTTGTATTTCATCATTTTGATCCTGAACTGTTTTACATCTTCCTAATTCACACAAAATTGAAAGCCAAATCAGCAAAACCACATTAAGTTTTAACATTATGCATGAGCTTAGGCATCATGTTTATTTAGCACTCAAAGGAATACAACATCCAGCAACTTTGAGACTTAATGTTTCATAATGATTTAATTACTCTGGCCAAGTAAAACTTTCAACAAAACTTTCAACTTTCAACAACTTCTCTGTCCCTGCTTCAACCACCTTTTTTTTTTTTTACTTTACAGGTATTGTTTTGGCAGCAAATATAAAAATAAATGGCACTCATTTATTGTTTCTTGCTATATGATTGCATGCTTTCAGTAAGGTTTCATTCAAATTTCCTTTGTTTTTCAATTTTTTCTTTGAAAGAACAAGAATTTTGTAATTTAGCATTAATAATGGATTGCTTTTTGTTCATAAATGAGGAGAAGAAGACAAGAAGCAACTACAGGTATTTATGTGACTAAGTGAGACATTTGTTAAGTGAGGTTTGCCCCATTTTACGAACTTTCTTGCCATAGTTGTTAAATGAATCATTGTAGTTGTTAAGTTAGTAACATAGTTGTTAAGTAAATCTGGTTCCCCATTGATTTTTCTTGTCAGAAGATTGAAAAGCTGATCACATGTCTCACGACATTTGCAACTGTCGTAAATATGAACCAGTTCTCAAGCATCCAAATTTTGATCATGTGACTATGGCAATGCTGCAATTGTCATGTGTGAAAAATGGTCATGTCACTTTTTTCAGTGATTGTTCTTTCTTAGTTGGCAAAAATGTATGTTGCATATTAAACATGTATGCTCTACTATAACTCAATAAAGTAATGCACACGGTAAGCTACATAAACATTATATTAAGATTTAGGTTTGCATTACAAAGTATCAACCATTATTTGGGCTCAATGTAATATTTTTGAAGAGATGTCCAGCAAATCTTTCAACTTAATGTGCTGAATTTGAGCTACAGGAATCTGATAATATGCAGAAAATAATGAGCTGAAACTAGCCAACCTGTCATACGATATTTTGAAGGGATGATTTATTCATCCAATAAAGAGAAAATAGCCATCTACAACCATAAGATTTCCAAGAAGGTATTATTTCTTTAGAAGAAGTCTAGTATTTTGTAAAGAACTAGCCTACAACTTGACAATATTACAATTATGGGCCACTGGGTAATATTTTCTTTCTAAGCAGTGGATTAGCAATTTTTGTTACTTGAAACAGATTTATTTTCAAATCTATTTAAATTCCTGCTTTTAGTTATTCTCTAGGAAGAAATCCCTTATTTCAATAGTGTGTGATTCTATAGTTTACAATGGATTTTTCAGTGGCTGTTCACACCATTAGTCATGAATCATTCCAAATACATATACTGAGCTGGAGTATGGACTTCATTATTTGATGTCCAATACCTTGGCATTTAGAACTGTACATTTTTAAATACATATATATTTTAAAATGTATTTGGTGTATTTAACTTCAAACATTTAAATGAGTGCATACATTTCAAGCATACATTTCCCCTCTGCTTGCTATATCAATTACAGTAAGGGTTTCTGACAGTATATAAAAATAGTCTTTTTGGGACCATGTTAGGTGATTTACCAAAACAGTAACTCTGAGTCTTCAGTACAAATAAAAAGTATGATCAATCTCAAGTGTATGCTAAATAACTAAACATCACTAAATCATCTGAAGTTGTCCCAATTAACTATTTCTTCCAGCTAAATAATGTTTGCCATGAATTATCATTAGTCTTAAACTCACTCCTAAAGAACCAGTTAGAGTCTAAACTGAATCTAAACTGAGTTATTGCTGTTCAAAATATCAGGGTACATATACTCAGTAAATTAATTTTTAATATTCATGGTTCAACTACACAGTCTATTTTAGTCCTAGAAAAAAATTGACAACTGAAGGCAACTTCTGATTGTGCTTTGCAAACCATCTGTCATAACTCAGGTACTCAAGTTATATTTGACAAAATATTATGAATCTGTGATAATGGTCTTGACATTAAAGTCAAAATAAATGACAAGCAGCAGTTATTGTGCATATCATTTGCTTATTAATTTGAATATAGACATTGGTTTGGAGAAAATATAAGCATTCAGAAATAGAAAGCTGGAGATGAGACAGATGGGATATGAGAACAAAAGCAAAAAATCCCACTCGTAGGTGTGAACTGCAGGCAAGTGTTAATGGTAGGAGATGTAGATTTCAGAGAGAATGAATTTGGAAGTCTGACATGATAGTTTTCTATTTTTATTATCTATAGTTCATATATAAAATACATATTTTAAAATATTTTAAATATAACATTCAGATTTCCTTTAGCTAAAACTCTTGCCTTTCTCTATTGTATCAAAAAAACCTTGTTGCCTCTCCTTATAGGTACAAATGTGAAAGTTCTATTTTGATGCAATTAGGAAGCAGAAAAAATGCAGTTCTGCTTTGCAGAACTTACAAAGTGAAGTTCACTCACAGAATTCCCTCCAAGTTGGAGGAACCCTATCTGGTTTTGCAATCAGCACCATTTTAATTTTTCAAAAAATCCCAATGTAGTTCCAGGGAGATTGTTTTTGCTTGAAAGAAAAATATTGCAACTTGGCAGATTTGGTAGTTGCCCAGTGATGCTGCATTAGTGTCAATTCTGTATCCTGGAAACAATTCAGGATTCAAGCATTTCAGATTTGTGAACTACCAAGTGACAGCCAGATATCCATATATGGCAGCCTCCTCTGAGGTTGAAATGAAAAACAATTATCATTAACAATTGTCATTACTTATTTCGAGATAATATACTGGTCTTTGGGACAAGAAAAAAAGGCAAAAAGTTTCTACTCTAAACAGAAAAATCCACTATATTAAAAAGAGAGTTAAAGGGAAAATGTGGAAAGGTTTTGGAAGGAAAATTGGCAGACTAGGAAATTACAATTTATTAATTTTTTTGCAAGGCTGAAATAAGGCTTAAGACTGGATTGGAATTTATAAACATTAGCTTTATATTCTTACCTAAATAACCATATAACTGTGAAGCACAGCAGCTTCTCTGGACAGCACATATTCCAACTTTTATTGAGCAAAATGGGTAACAAGATATTTTAATATTATAGTTATAGTCATGGAAACAGCAGGAATTGGATTTCTGTTTTGTTTTTTTATTTTGTTTGCTTATTTGTTTTTTCCTGTTCACTCCTAGACAAGTTTGCTTAAAATATACATCCAAGGCACATGGTGGGTGGGTGAGTGATTGCATTAGTTAATATCCTGCCAAGCATTATTATTTGTTTGGATATTGAATTTTGTTGCTATAATCCTGGAAGACTCAGGGAGATACCAAAAGAGAGCTGTAGTTTGCTTATTTCAGGTTTAGAATCAGAGAATAGCTGGTTCAGATGGGCAGATAGCTACACTTCTTGAAAGTAGATCCTACAGAAGTCAGGAAGGCTTATTTCTGAGTACAGATTACAAGGTATAATGGATTTCCCTGTCATCTGCTTAAAGATGTCAGTCAATTCTACAATTATTTTCCAAAAGCCTCCTTTTGCATAAGTGACCTTTCTATGACATTATATTGAACTGGCTCAAATAAGCAAATTTTATTTCAGAACATGGGAAAATTGTTGCCAGAAATTGTTACCATAAACCTTAACACTTCCCCACATTTTCAGAGCATACCAAATTGTACTTCCAATTTATACTGATTCAGTATAATTACATATTATATCAGTATATGTCCTGTGAAAGAAAATTCATAGAAATTCTGGTAGTTCTGATGCACGAGATGGACAGACTGGGATTGACAAGGGATAATTATCAATAATTGATTAAAGTGCAGACTTTATGCTCGTTTGGGAAAATTCATGATAGTTAAAGAAATATCAGATATTTTCTTCAAGTCTATTTGTTAAGATACTGGAATGTTAACGGCGACTATCTATCACTTCATATGACAAGTTCTCCAATTTATACTTCTATCATATTTATTTATTTGATTTTTATCCTATCTTAGGTTTTTTGCCAGCTCAACCTTGCTTACATCCCTAACGTTCCTGTCTCCTATTTTCACACATCTCTGCAAGGTAGGTTGGGTTAGGTTAGTAGGCAGTGACAGGCCAAAATCACTCAACAGGCTTACATAGGAGTTCCCAGACACCTTCCTAAAAGTCTGATAAAGCAGATGAGGTTCACAGGATGGAATCCCGCTCCTCCATTGATATAACAGTAATTTCAATATATGAGTAATTTCAGTAATCATCCCATTATATTTTCCACCAGCCTGGTAATATGTGAAAGACAGCTAAACATCACTGATATACTATTTTTTTAAAACAGTCATACAGACAAGGACGCAGCCCTTCCATCCAGTTCCTGACGTTGGCGGGGCTTTGATTAGCTCCCAAGTTCTTCCACACGCTTTGGGTGTGGAGAAAGGCCTGGAGGCGAAGGAGCCTTGTATTAACGCGAGGGACCTAAAAGAGGGAGACACAAATGCTAGGCGAGAACTTAGATAGAAACCTGCGGTCCATAACGGAACGCCCAGACACCAAAAAGAGCCCCTTTTCCCTCAGAAGAGACTCCGGCCGGGCCTGCATTTAGCTTACCTGCCCGTCGCTCTCGAAGGGAAAGGAGTCGTCTCGTTGGGGCGAAGCCGAACTGCATCGATTGCCTTCCAAGTCGCTGGGGGTAGGCAAAGTGCTGCTGCCCGAGGCGGTGCTTCCATGAGGCTGATAATCTGGATAAGGGTTGTTGAACGCCCTCTCCTCCATCTCCGCTTCGCTTCCCAATTGCACCTTCAGCCGTTTGGACATGCCCTCTCCCATCTCAGCCTGCCCCCCTGCCCTCCCACCGTCGAACGGCGAGCCAAGCAGGACAAACTCCCCAGCCAGCGATAATAACAGCAACGCGCTTTAGAGGTCGCAAAACGGCAACTGCGATCGGCGCCTAGGAAGACAGCAGCTGTTGCATACCAGCCAAAAATTAAGGGGCGGGGGGGGGGGGGGGTTCGGCAGGTGGTGAAGTTATCTCCACCAGGGAAGGTTGAGAAATACGACACGCCTCATCGCGGAGGGAAAACCAAAGCGGGGTGAATATCTAAAATCCTTAGCAATTAAGGATTAAAGGGTTAACGCCAGTCCTAGTCAATCTGCAAGATGACAGGACCGATGTGAGACTATTGTTTGTTGTTTTCATTCCGATCTTAATTCCAGCCAGCTTTCAATGTGTGTAGGCACATGTATAAATAATTATTCGTTACCACCCCATTCTCAGGTTAAGGGCCAGAGAAACACCACACCACACTCCCAACGATGGGGCAGTTTCCTGCAAATTTAGGAAGAAAATATAAGAGGGCTACCCCTCCTGCGGCACACCTGGGATGGGCAAATTAGGGAATCATCTGGGACTCGAGGGTATCCTCTAATCCCCCATTTCCGATGGATATCCTCCCTTCTCCGAGACAGTCAGGCTGTCGGTGTCGCCGCTGCGGCACTTATTAACAAGCTCCGAGGCTGCAAAACGGAGATTCTGCCTCCTGCCTCTCGGCAACCGAAAACGATCGTCTCCAGAATCATTTTAGATTAAGATCATCAGGATCAACAAGGGGAAAGAAAACCCAAAGAGTAGAGAATAGACGAGCAACTCCTTATTCGGGGACATTCGAATCCTCTGACCTGCAGGGACCTTCAGAAGAGAAGAGTGGAGGCAATAAAACAGCCCTTTGAAGCTTTTTCTGGTTGGTTTTCTATCCTCTTCTGTTCTGACAAATGGACATTCAGTCCAGGTAGAGCTCGATCCTTCTTCAGATGATCAGAGTAATATTAGTACAAATACAACAAAGACTGTAAGAAGTCAAGAAAATCATGGAGGTAGTGGAAGAATCACTAATGGCTACTGGCCCTCTTCCCACCTTTGCTTTCCAGCAGCTTCTGTCTTTGTGGCTGTGAAATCAGTATGTGTTTGCCTTATAGTGCCAGCAAATAAACACGCAAAATCAATTGTAAATGACGATAGACTCAGGAGGTGGGACGGCTCAGCCAGTTTACCTCACAGAAGTACAGAAACAATCCTTCCTAACTGACATACACTCACACTTCTATAGAACACATTTGTTTCACAAAAGGATGTTGAAGGTAACAAAATGAGTTTTAAAAAACAACCCTACCTCTTGACAGACTTGCTCAATATAAAGAAATGTCATTTTTTTGCAGCTATAATTTCATTCGTTAAAAAAAAAGTAGAAGGGAACCTTTGTCAAACTATGTTGGAATTCACCTGCCTGGGGAAGTGATTGGAGGAATTTTCTTTCAACCATATTGCTTCACACCCTCAGGTTTCATTTTGGAAATTTCTTTTAAGATGCATCTGATTTATAAATATACTGTACATGTGATTTCTACAAAGCAGTACTGTGCTGGCTATAAAGCAGGGACATTAATAGAAATACTTTTACATTAAATATATTCCTATTTAATTTTACATCCGAATATCCAACATTTTTCCACCAGCACCTTTGTCACTGCAATCCTGTATAATTTCCAATGTTGTTGTATTTGTATTGAAGACGTTTTTTTTTCCAAAATCTGTTAGCATAAACATTATCACATCCAGATCTCTGTCTCCATGCCTTATCCACATATCTCTGGATAAGAAGTTGCCTAATATTATTTATAATAATAAATATAATAAATATAGCCGCCCGGAGTCCTCCGGGATTGGGCGGCTTATAAATCTATTAAATACAATACAATTAAATACAAATACAATAATAGTATATTATAAAGTGATCTCCTCTGACTGGCCCCAGGTTTTAGGCATTTTTTTCTTTTATCTATTTATACTTTTTAACTGGAGATATTGGGGCTTAAATTTGGGGTCTGCTTTTGGCTATTACTGTTGTGATCCTACCCAGATTCTTCTCCATCATTATATGAAACCACGTACATAAGTGAGAACCATGGCCATTTACAACCATCTGGCTAGCTGTGTCTTTCTGTCTGTCCTGATTTGGAAACAGAAAATATTCCAAAGCCTTTTAGGTAATCTAAAAGTATAAAGTAAGATAATGTTTGCAAGCAAGATAGATGACCCTTTTGTGGATTATTTAGCCATCCGTAGGGGGATCATGAATGAAAAGCTTATAAATAAGGAGAGCTGTGGATTTTGTAGAACATGTAAATAAAGTTGATTACTTAAAGTAGCAGAACAGCAGCTTAGAACATAGAAGGAATTTTGTAATTTGTGGCAGTTGCTCTGCCAGACTAAATTGTATTTACTACCTGGTTTGTTGCAATCAAAATCATTGGATCTATGATGGAGCCCTCTGTCCCAGTCTTTTGTATTTAGGAAAATGATTGGAGATGGATGTGTTTTGTGTTTCAGCTTTATATTCTTACAAGGATTCTTGCTGAATATGTAGTACAGGCTGCATAAAGTACCTTCCATTAGAAATTATGAAAAATATTTTATCATCCCTGTCTCAAAATAGTGCCAAATTGATGCTTCAGAATTAAGCTATTTTATTGATTGATTTATTTTTAATTTAGTTATTGAATTTTTGACTCTGACCTATAAGATTTAAAAGCTTGAGTTATGAGAGGATGACTCATCAAAATTACCCAATGAATTTTATGGTTGACAATGATCTAATACCTGACTCTCTTCAGTCCTGAGTAAGTTCCCTGTCTATTATGTCACATTCCAGTCAGGATCTAGGTCAAGGGGGTCAAACTCAAGGCCTGGGGGTCGGATTTGGCCTGCAGGGTGGCTAGATTTGGTCCAGGGGGCAGTTCTGGTAACAGTGAAAGACTTGCCCATGGTGCCTCTATCAATGAAAAAGGACCTCAGGAGGGCTGCATGCGGCATTCCTGAACTCTGTTTTTGCTGGCAGAGAATTGCAGGAGACTGTCACAGCCAAAATTGAAGCTCAGGAGCCCATTTTCTCTGGCAGAGCACTCAGGCCACCACAAGCACCCCTGACACAAGTGGCGTCAAGCTGGCAACACCCCTCAACCCCCCAAGGTCAAACACAATACTGATGCAGCCCTCAACGAAATTGTGTTTGACACCATTGATCCAGAATTGCAATGTCTTTTATATTATGAGAACAAGGCTACTTTTTGTAGCTAGTCCACTTTTTGCAGTGTGGGTTTAATTGTTGATCATAATTCAAAATAAACATTTTGTCAAAAAGCCTAGAAATGCCTAAAAAACTAATTAGCTCTCCCCATGTCAATTGGTGAAAGTAAGGAGTGGAAAACCAATGCCTTCCAATGTTGCTGCCATAGTCTTGGCTTGATGAATGTACACTAATAGGAAACAGTAAAGTTAAATCCTGTTTGATGAGTTCATTTTTCATGTGTCACCAGCTATACATTTTCATTTTCTTGTTATCAGAACCATAAGGTATTTCAGGTTCCTATCAGGAGTAATATCCCTATTAATAGTTTAATCCAATGAGGCACTTAAATTTATTAGCTATACATTTTATAAATCATCTTCTTGAGCTTTGTAGAAAGTTAGCATCTACCCCTCTCCTAGAAAAATGAAATAGTTTGAAATATTAAAAAGGCAGAATGTTATATTTCCCAAACTGAGAAATGGAAACATGTTTTAGAAGAAGGAAGCAGCCCTCACCTTCCTTAATAGTCCACAGCAGATTTCAGCACTTGAGATAAAGAGATAGATAGCTCTATTCATAAGCAAATATTCTCACCCAAGATCCAACAAAGGTAGGATTAGCCCTCAACCACAATAGAAATTGCCCAATGCCCCTTCATTGCATCAGCAGTCCAAACTTCAAGCAAACCTGGGACTCAGACAACCTATATAGCCAGCTATGACTACTACATAACCCCTACAACAGTCAATAGAATACATATTCTTGCATAGGAACAGGAAGGTCAAGTGCAAAGCTCAGAGAAGGTATAAAAACTGCCACTCTCAATTCCATGTGGTCAGCTGCCCAGAATCCTGTGCTCGGTGGTTCTGTTCATCATTAAATCCTCTCTCCAATCAGCCTCCAGCCTCCATTTTGTCTCCAGTGCCTCTCCTCCATGTTGGAACTCAACCAGATGGATATTTCTTCCAATAGCATTGTCCTTTGGAAACTTGGATATCTGTAAACAATGAATTTGGAACAGGACTAATATAAACATTGCTCTGTATCTGATTGATTCTTAGGGAAATATTACCATTCTCATAGTTTTAGCAATAAAGACACCATTTTCTACTATTTCACATCCTTACACTAGGTAACTAATAGAGGCTTTCCAGTTGCTGCATCAGCTTTCTATATCAGTCTATATCTGTAGCAGCTTAAATTCATGATTAGCAAACACAAAATTATTCACCTCCATTTTAACTTAGAACCCTTTTTGCTGTCTATTTTTTATTTTATTTATTTATTTATTAGACTTATATACCGCTTCATAGGGCTTTCAGCCCTCTCTAAGCGGTTTACAATTTTTTTAGCAAATTGAGTCAGCATATCGCCCCCACAGTCCTGGTCCTCATTT